TGCCAAGATGCTAAATGAACTTGAAAAATCAGTCCGCAAAATGGTTTCTTGGGGCACTAGAGCTATACAAGCCACTTCCAGTGTTGGTTTCTGTACTTTCCCATCGCTCAGAGAATATCGTCAGAATGCTATGAAAGGTAATATGAACGATCGCGCGCTATGTCTCACGTTCGTAAACACACCGCCATAATGCAAATAAAATCGGCGCCCGGAATCGTGAGCAACAGAGCAATGTGCGCTGACAGATGCCTACATGGACACATTAGGCAACTCTCCATATACAGCTGTTTTTGATAGGCCGGAATTTTTGGAGGAAAATATAAGGTTCGAATTCAAAGCTTAATGCCCAGAAAGCTGACATTCCGTTTTATACCGGTTTGTCCAGAAATTTTTGCTCTCCCTGTCCTAACGACAAAATAGTCATATAAGAAAAAGGCAGGTGATAGCCGTCAGTGCAGCTAGCTCCTTACTCATGGCTTGGCTACACCGCATAGTCTGGTTCGGAAGTGACAGAACGGTAGTGAGCGGTAGCAGTGGTCATGATAGCCTACAGACTGGCTTTGATGTTTTGCTATCTTGCTTGAGACTGTTTCCTGAAACAACTTCAAAAGCGAAAGTTCGTACAATTGAGGAGCGCAGCGTCGAAAGCTCACGGGATCGGAACTGTTTTCACATCTTCAGATGGAATAGCCAAGTCTATCGGCAGATCCCGCAATGACCGGTACTGCATCCTGCTTTAGCTTAGTTACTCGGACCACTCTAAAGCTGTGTTTTCCCAACTCATATAGAGCAAAATATGTTGTTACAGACAACATCTGCCAAAGAACAAAAAGCTTATTTGTTTCTGCATATTTTGGAACAGATGGTACAGAAACTTCACCTGAAATTCTTTGATAACATAACGGGTAAGATTATTGGCGCTAAGCTGGGCTGGCTGAGAAGGGGAACAGTGAACAGCAATGAGACACGTAGATATGAGCTTGGTAGTTGCAGTGGCTCACCTGTCTAATCTACCCGACACGTATATCGGTACACCCGTTCTCCTTTATCCATTAATTCGATACTTTGTACCTTTTTTGAAGTTAGATTCATCGTCAAAAGATCGGAATGACCGATAATTTCGTTCACGGGGTCTCCAATTAACAAGACACCGAGCATTTCAATATATGGGAAGGAAACAACTGACCCTTAGGCATACGAATGCGATGACCAGAGCCATGACATCAGAAAGCATATGATATGAATCAGCAAGTAAAGCAATTGAACGATTCATAAAACCGACGACCAATTCGACAAAGAAGAAAAGGAATGTGATGGTTATCATCACTAGCACTTTCTTAGAATTCTTACTGAAATGATGAAGTAAAAAACACGGAAATTCTAAAACTATGCTTAGAAATAAAAGTAGATACGTACTTAAAAGCATCTTTGCCCTTTGAATCAGTCTCAGAACCACATTCTGAATGAGTATCGATTTGAGACATTAGTTGTTTTTCCACAGCTTCATCACTATGCAATCTACAGCCTGATACCGATTGTGGTAAGGTTCCACCTACTGTTGACTCCTAAAAAACCAATATATTGCTTTATAAAAATGAAAATCGAAAACGAGCCATTAGATAAGAACACTCACTTCTGCGTTCTCCATCTGCGGTGTGAAATCGAATAAGCAACGTCGCACCGACTAGGTGATAAAAATTGACGGCGAAGAAAAGCCGAAGGCGGACAACCCACTTCTAACACTCGTCCACTTTGGACGAGTAGTCGCGCATGACTGAAAGTGAACGGCCACGGTACTTTTGGGACCTTTAAACATTCCAGTGTTCATTGCATGGCTATTCTTTCCGGTGCTTGTCTTTGTTCGTGTCCAAAAGGGCTTGCTGAATAGTCGAATCAGCTCGTTTTCCCAGTATCGTTAGACTGCAGCTTAATTAAGAGTCTAGAGGTGTCTTGTGTTACGAACTTGCACTCTTTCGGTAGCTTCCTTTACACTTTTTCTACCGAACGACACTGGAAGTGGTTTTTTTTTCTGCCAACAACCGCCCTTTATCTATTTGTCGCTGTTGTTCGCTTTTTTTCTTTGGTGATTGCTGTATGGAGTATACACTTGCTTGACTAGATTACCAAGTAAAATGAAAAACATTACTCGCCCAGGCCAACTAAACCTTCCACATCTTTCCGATGTCGCTTAGTTGTTACCGGACTTGTCCGGGAGGATAAAAGCTAGTACTTGTACATTAGCTGGCCACTGGTCGTTGTATAAGCACATACTCATTCGAACCGCCACAGCGATTCCGAATGGAGATCGAATGCGGGTGTGCATCCAAAAAATGCCAAAAACCTTGTTTACGTCCTTGAGGTAGTGTTAATTGTTGTAGTTATTTTACCCTGACTCCATTCTTGCCTATGTAACCGTAGTTACCTGAAGTTTCCCGTCATCCATTGTCTCAGTTCAAGCGAATAATACAATTTGAGGTAAAGCAATATCACTGCCATGGAGATTTCTTACCTTTATTATTGACGGCAGCAGTATCGGATAAGTTCTACAGCTTTCATTCGGAAAAATGTTGAGAATTGATGGTGTCTGGCAGTTTTTTATTTCTCGGCCTTTACTAAATGATATCTTTTCAGTTTTTTTTTNTTTTTTTTTTCTTGTCAGAAGCCGTAGTCTGGTCTCTTATCAGTTTCTGCTTTGTTTCTATTTGTTATCATTTCTGTTGTTCACCTGCTGGGGCATTTATTTCTTCTTATCCGTTGAAATGTTGGTCGATTTAGTAAGATGTGTCATTTCTAGCTTTCCTTATCTAACCGTAAAACAGTAATCAACTTGAATCTGTGTTTTTTGGTCGGTACAGAGTAAAACCTACTGATATTGAGTGAGAACACTGTTTCGACGTAAAATCGCCAAGGCCATTGATGGAACGATTTTACTCAGCAACTAGTACACCAAGGAGTAGTGTCTGAAGTAGTCATTTTTGGATCCACTCCTTTGGTCCCCTTCCAGTGCACTGGGGTACTTTGGCCGAAAATAATTGGTAACCACCACAGCGTCCGTCCGTCCCGAATGTCCTTGTGACTGTACGCTCTGTCATTCGAGGTTGGCGCTTCGATTGCCCGGCTTATCTGTTGTTATTGTGCGCCACGCACATCAATTATTTACATTACCCCATGTAGTCACACTTTTCTCGTCTTGTCGAGGAAATTGAAGGTAATACTCAGGCCTCGTTCTACGCATACAATAGGCACGACAAGTAACATTTGTCGATAAGTATTTGTAAGCGATTTACTGAAAATCATTGTTATAATCGTTGATAGCTGTGTGATTAGTATATTGAACAACAACGGCTTTTTATTTTAATTTTTTACTTACTATATTTATTTAAATAAGGTCAATAGCTTTAAAGCTCCTTTTCTCAGAAACCTCGAGGAAATGCTAGGTGTCACCTGAGTTTAATGGCGACATCAATGTTATTAGCATATAAATCATATAAATATGTGCAGTGGCGTTATACCTAGCGCCTAATATTTGCCTAAACGTCGATAGTGCACAAGTTGGGCGGAGCTTCAAAGCATTGTTCCGGTGTGACTTTTCCAAAGGGGGCAAGTTTTTATGATGCACTCCTCTTCAATGTCGCGCAGAGCTAACTGTGTGTCCCTGGGCTTATCTGAAGAATGATTTTTCAGAAGTCCTTCTCCGAAATAGCTTTTGCATAAGGTTTGTGTGGCCACTCAATGTCGCGACTGAGGATTCTCTTCTTTCGAAAATTCTGCTGGGAAGATTTTTTTTCCTCTCTTTCTTCTAACTTCTTTAAGCTACTGAATCGATGACACCAGGCTTAAAAAAGTGTTCGAGATATGACTTGGACGATGCAAAATTGATCGCTGTTTTTTCTAACACGAAACGACTGACACCCTACGTGTGGCCATGACATCTGTAGGTGAACTATATGAACTCCCTTATGTTTTTTTGTTGCTTGAATCTGTGGCGTACTAGCTGCTTCATAGAGGATTTGGTAATCTCCAATTGCTAAGATTTGTATCCGCGATTAATACTTTCATGCTCATAGATTAAGCTCTTTATGCTTTCCAGCAAATTGTCGTTAAATGTTGCCGTGATGACTAAAAAGTGGTTCTCATTCGTTCATCGCCTTATTCTCATGTTCGTCATTGTTATGTTCCCATTTGGGTATTAATAGTTTTAGAAAGCAGGTAATGCACGGGCCTTATGTGGTGCTTTCTCCCATTGCCAAGTCCCATCCCTTCGAAGAACGTCGGGTGCACGTTGGTCCTGATGAGGATCCTTTGAAAATCGGCAGAGCAGTGGCTAGACTAAAGGCTGCGAAAGATAATGCTATATTTGATTGCAAGGTATTTCCCGTTACATCAGAATAATCATTTATCAGTTTGGAATGATTTTTTTGGTTGTAAAAATATTCAGGTACTATCACGGAATCATGCTGTGTTATCGTATCGTAATGGAGGTTTTTTCCTTCGAGATACTAAAAGCAGCAATGGCACATTTGTAAATAATGAAAGATTAGCGGTGACAGGTGAAGAGTCCGAAGCGAGGCAGATTTTCACTGGTGACATCATTCAGTTTGGCGTGGAAATCGTCGAGAATACCAACAAAGGTATATTTTTGAATATGTCCTTGTCATTTAGTGCAACTATTTGGCTCCACTTTTTGTACGATTTAGATTTTTTCGTATTTCCCAATAAATCTTGCTTAACGGTCCCGATTCTTTTTTCGTTCATCAATTATCCCAGATTCCGGATATAGGTTGTATACATAGGCCTCTATCCGTTATGACTGTTGTTTCAGTGGCGCACGGCTGCATATATGCTATGGTTCAATTGTTTGATGCCTCTGGGCAGATGATCGAAACCGGAGGAACCTTGAGCGGCGGCGAATTAAATGGGTAAGCGGCTAGCTTCAAGGGTTTTCACTATTTGGAATTATTTGAAACTTGTGTTTTAAACTGTATTTACATTCTTAAATCTATTTACGACGTTGTCTATTTCTAGAACGATGCCGAGTTGTGAACCGTCCCTCGTTAATAATCATCAGTTGTTCCAAATGCAGCAATATTTGTCAGAAGCACTTTATAGGTGAGTCATCTTTCTTTTCAGGCTAAGCATACTTCTACCCCTCATTTCTAGCACGACGAACTTTCGAACCACCTGCTCAAGGGTACAGAAAATCATGGATTTTCAATTTCAGAGAGGAAGCCCGTCAACAAAAGTTAGAAGCTCTAGAAAAGATGTTAGAAGCCACTGAGCATGCTTCCGAAGCAGCCTGGAAAGCTCTTGTTAATGAAGATAGGCTGTTGTCGAGGTTAACTTTTGTGTAATGTGTTTCTTTTTGAAATAATGCCTATTTGTATGCAGTCTAGGTGGTTAATAAAGTGCTTCCATTAAATATTCAATTTCTTTGCAGAATTGAGACTCTGGAGGCGCAGTTAGCTACGTTTTCTAAGAACGCTACACCTGATAAATTGAGAGAGGAAATTCTAGCATTGATTGACGACAAAGCAAAGTTTGAAGTCACGTCCAAAGAACAGTTGAGGCAAGTGGGGCTAATGTTAGCACGTTTTGTAATAATTAGTTTCACCCTCTGTTTCAACAGTTTAAACTGCTATTTTTGTAGAAGAGCGCAGGAGGAACGGGCCGAGTCAGCGCTTAGGTTAGCTGACATTGATCGAAGCCTGGTTTCCACAGAGGAGGAATGTAATCGATTGCGTTCCAGGGTGTGTTTCTTTTTTTTCTCCCACTAGATCGCATTTGTGATGTTAGTTTTTATTTCTCTCTCAGCTGCTCAGCAATATTTCAGTGATATAGGTTAATATTTAAGATACAAACGCTGGAAGGGAAATTGAGTGAGACCGTGAATGCATATGAAGCGAAAGTGAACGATTGCAATAATTCCCAGATAGCTCTCGTCGAGGTAGGAGTAATACAGTGTTGTTTACCTCAGTGGGACAAACGTCCCATGATTTTCTGGTAGTTGTTTATTTCCTCGGTCTGCTACGGAGGGGTATCTTGTAGCGCTCGTTCAAGTTTTTCTTTTCGAAATTGAGTTCCATTGCCTTAGACAGAAAGACGGCTCGCAGCGGCTGAAGAAAAGGCAAGCACCGCCGAAACTCGCCTTGGTGAAATGGAGTCAAAAGGTCGGTAAACTCTTGACGCTTTGAAAGTCAAAGTTGCGGTTCTTTTGAGTGGCTACCTATTGCTTCTGTATTTTAGCACAACACGAGCGCTCTGTATCATATTTGGTTCGACTTCTTGTAAGCGCTCTGAACAATAATCCGACCGTCAACGAGAATGATCGCTGGTTAACTATGCTCTATGACGTGCTTCGAGAGAAAAACATTGCAGTTGACGCTGTACCTGACGCACCTGTAATCAAACTGCCGAAAGCTGATCTTTCTTCTAATGGTCAGTTGAAGCAAAAGCTTGAGAAGTGGTTCAGTGATAGCAAAAAGTTTTTCAGAACTCATAAGCTGCAAAAGGTGCGAGTACATAAAAGACTTGAATGCTCGCGAAACGCTGATTCGCGCTGAGATGGAGACTTACCTCAAGGACAACCTCCAACTTCAAGGTAGCGATGTTTTAGTGTTCGAAAAAGACTTTTGTTCCGATTTGAAGCGGCTGGCCTTGATTTATGCAACTTTCCCTTTCATTTGAACTCTTGTGCGTTTTTCTTTGTGATTCGTGCTTGGACCTATTCGCATTTCAATAACGGAAGAATTCCAGCTCGTGTGCGGGACTTGGAATCTGAGCTGGCGATTGCCGTATCTCCGGTGTGTATAGGAAAGCCTCAGCTTGAGCTGGATAGTGCTCAAACCTTGGGCATTTCTCCACCGGAGAAGAAGACCAACAATATTCAACCAGTCACGGTACCCTCTGGCCCGGCTGAGCCCCTTGTCATAGACAGGCTACATGATACGGTATGTGATTTACCCTTTTTACATTTCTCTTCTTTATTCGAGCAAAACTTTATAGTACCCAGTGTGTGCTTTGGTGAAACGTAGCAATATGGAAATAGAAATTGAGCTTAAAGTTTCCTCAACCGACTCAGGCCACGTTTTTCGTAAGACCACACTAAAAAGCTTGTTCTTCATCATTGTTAATGTTTAGTTGAGTCGAATGAGTAAGTATATTAGCTGGAATGAGCCGTCTTTTAACTTTTTTATGAGTCTTGTGATAAGAAGAGTGAAATTGAATTATTTTTGTGGAGAAAACCAGAGATAAGTCAAAAAGGAGTTGAAGGTTGTGAAGCCTGAGGTATATATTGTTATAGTTATTCATTTAGGATTGGTCTCTAGTTCATCTGCCTCCAAGTAATTGCAAACACGCTCAAAACTTTTTTCAGGTTTTCATCATCTCATTAGCACCTTTCCTTGCCATAATCTTGCTAATGCTTGCGCCGTTCCATATGAGATTTATGCAGTACATTAAGCAGGATTAGGTTCAATGCTCTGTGATAGGCCGTCGATACAGTGGTGAGTTTTCGCAGTTCTGTTCAGAAATGTTAGACTCGATGCTTAACATTTTTCATTCATGTTACTTTGTTTCCGTTCTGTGCTTGCTCAATGTTCGACGAACGTCATCGCAGGTGAAATTTTAGAACAGCTGTCGAATGACTGGGCTAGTCCCGTTTAGGAATAAACAAAGATATGCATGGGGCTGGAATTTATGTAATAGAACCTTTAGCGGGGTCATCAATGCGGGGAGAAGTATCGAGCGAAAGAGCGATATGCTGAAAAGCGCGTGAACTTCGTTGTTGGTTTGGATGAGGAGCACCCTTTACCTGAGAAGCACCCTGCATCAGTTTCCTTCATTGGTTCTTCGCTGTTTCGAAAGTTTGGCCAGAGGAAATCTACGAGTAAATGCAGTATTTTAACGGAAAGCTTACAAATGACTCAAGCATAGGTGGGCCCCATGTCAGAGACAAGTGGCCAAAAGAAACGATGATACTGAAGGGTGCATACCAGTTGTAACATCACTTCGTGAGGCCATGCAATTTTTGAGTCATTATCCACAAAGCATTCAACGGGAAGGGGTTGATTTGTTACCAAAAGTATTGGTGCAATACATAAAGAAATGATTGAGAGCTTGCCCAGCTGAGGCTGTGTTCAGAGTAATGGTTGCCTTTGAATGAAATGTGACGGGAATGACTGGACAACGCAGCTGTGAACGAGCTGCTTGACAGCAATTAGGCATTAACATTCTCCAGTGTGTACCCGCCGCATTTCTTCTATAGGTAATACTACCCAACCGACGGCCTAATTTGGTAAAGATGCTATTAGGGCTATGATTTGTGGCTTTCTCGTAGCCTTTTTCCCTCAGATTTTAGTCAATTCCGACCTCGCAGCTAAAAAGGGGTGCTCGTATGACTCATTGACTTATATAAGAGCAGCAATAGCTTGGAACAAGCACTGGCAACAGTCCAGTGAAGCATTCTGGTCATTCTACATCATTGCGGTTATTTTTAAAACTTGTAGAGGTGTTGATACGGTTTTCAGGAAATCTCTTGTGGTTGGATATTTCACGTTGTCGTATGTTGGCCCGAAGCTCCGTGAATCGCTCAGGCTTAGTGTTGTGCTGCGTTGCATATCATGTGCTTTCTTTTTTCGTTGTCTCGCTTATATTTGTCCGATTTGATTGAGATCTGCACTTTTTTCTTTTTTAGGGCTAGTCATGCGTGTATTTCGTTGTGTAACGTGATGCTCGAACCATTAGTATTCGTTTGCTTTGTGAACCTCGAAGAATTTTATTGATCTGCTCATCTCATTTCTTTTGCTATGTTGGTAAGCTGTAATTTATTGAAGTATAGCATGTGTAATGTTGTGTTGAGATGGAGTACAGATCATTTTTATGCCCACGATTGCGTGTATCTCTGAATTTTTTTCCCTGTACTTTGAGCACTTCTTGGTGAATTGACCGTTTTAATGTGCAGATACATTTGTGGCGGCAAACATGAACCATGTCTCGTTGTTGGGTGTGCCATTAAAAAGCAGTTTAACCAACTGGTTATCGAAGTAGTGAACGGCTGGAAACCGTTGTGCTGCGCCCAGTTTGCAAAAGGAGCTCCAACGGGGCTTTGTTCGTGATTGCGACCGCTCGTTTCGTTGCTTTTTTTTATAAAGATTATTTATGTAGCTGTTTTTGACTATAAGGGGAGAAATATAGTCGATGGCAAGTCTTGTTCAGGAATGCACAGTCATACGAGGATTGTGAAGGACAGTTATGATTTTGTATTTCTACATTCGTGGCATTTGAAGCACCTGTAAGAAAAGTGGGCACGTCCATAGTAGCCGTTCCTTACGTAGACGTTGGCAGCGACCATGAGTCGATAAGTTGGAACTCATGCTGGAGCTTACTGGGAACGGATAGGGGGGAGGGCGAGGTTCGTTTCTCTAAAAAATGTGTCTCCACATGAAAAAGTTGTTTCAGGCGTTCAAATTCATAAATCTAAATTCCAAGAAAAACAGTAGTATGTGAAGTCTGAGACACAATCGGTTAATTCTGGTAGCAGTGTTTTATTGGGATGTAGGTAATTGCACGTTATTTTATGTACTTTCGTAATGTATTCACTGATTGGTTGGATCAAAAATGCTTCTTGTTTTGTGCGGCTTTCAATCTGAAATCAGCTGCTCAGAAGACTGTAGTCATATTTTTGACGGGGTTATTGATTAGTTCAGGTTGTTGACAGCAGTTCTTAGTAAACAGTAAGCGATAGCATTTCCAAATATGAAGCGGCGATTGAACAAATTGTAAGCAGATTGAGGGTTAGCCTTCAGGACAGTGAATTGGTGATCCGATCATTTGCTGTCTTCAAAGTTACTAGATTATGTAACATCGAAAATTCCACCTATCATTACACAGATTGTGGCGCTTGTTTATAGTGCGCAACAATTTTAACTTGATTGATTCATCGCGCGACGATTTCTAGATAGCTGACTTGCCGCGCGGCTTCCCGTTCGGAATGCCTCCCCTTTGACGCGGTGTAATTGATTAAAAAACAAAAGATACGTACTCATCTCTGTCGTTTTTGTACTCAATCAGTACGATAATAATGCCAGCGAGACATCCGAAAAACAATAGCCATGTGATGGCTATCAGGATCGAGAATGTTAGCTGTAATTAGATATCAATGGGTAGCTCTCCAGCTGACAGCTATCTACTCCTGTGTTAGTTGCCTTTTCATGGCTCCACAACCGAGTCAGAAATGGCGGTGGAGGAGTCTCTCTAATGTGCATTACTTTTTTCTCTTGGTAAAGGAGGACAGCCACAGCCCTTTGGCCTCCCATTTGGGAATTCCGGGTGCGCTTCGTTGCGCGCGTCCGTAGAAACCAGGTCATGCCGCAGCCATCGCATGCGGCGGGCCTGCCCGCGTTCTTTGACAAACGTCGCAGTTGTCAGCGGAGCATACGAATTGCGCTCGGTCCACGACAGTGAGTCAAAGAGAAGATAACACGAACAAATACAAATCATTCGCTCCACCGATACTTGGTGGTACTGTAGTGTCGTCTCGAGACCTCAGCGGGGTGCGCCGCGCACGAAGTGGGCGGGGTGACCTACTTTCGACGGACGCGCGCAACGGACGCTCTCCGGGAATTCCTCATCGCACATCTGACTCTGTTGCATATTCATTCACCACGAATTAATCTAGAAAACTAACCAGATAGGGTGGTGCTTTTGATGGTGGTGAGTGCTCAGGTTCATTACGTGACATTCCGGGCTTACCTTAACCGCTTGTTTTGAACTGATATCAGAAAA